TAAAATATTGAACAAAAAGAGAAAAAAACGTTTTAAACAAAGAATACTTTTGTAGTTCTTCTATGCATATTCAACTCTACAATATAGTGTATATCTTCTTCAAAAAACGGTGTTTACTACTCTACAGAATTTAATCATTATCAAAATTTTGATGAACTTGACATCAACTTCGATGTTGCATCAAAAACATTTGATATCGCTTGCATTTTCATATCTAGTTCTTCAAAATTTTGATCTAAGCGCCGAAAGATCGAAACAACCATACGTATATATCACTGTGGTCATCCATCATTTTAATCAATTGATCATTCAAATTCACTTCAAGTATTGGTCGAACAGAAATTTATATAACTGTTGATATTATATTTCATTTACTTGATTGATCCAATCAACCATTTAGAACAATGAGACATTAGATTAATTTTGTTTTTGTTTTTTTAAATAGTATTTTTTTTTAGAAGCAATATTTACTGCTTTATCATTGCAATTGAAGAAAATTTTAAAAAAGCAAATTGATTAGATTTAATTGAGGAAATTTTCCAAAGTATACCTAAATATTGCGAACTTTTGGCATTTGATGGCAGCGAAAAAAACCTTATTGTAGGTGTTGATCAAGAGAGTGACGGTATTATTGATCTATCAGAGTTATAGAATAGAAAGGACATGGAAAAGTATGAACTAATTGAAGTCTGAGTTTAGACAAAACTCAATAGTATATGTCAACGTTCGTCAAGAGAAAGAATCGTGTACTCCGAATCATATTGAACGATAAAATCGATGTTTGATAGAATAGTAATTCTAAATGCAAACATTTTCGAAATAACAGAATTTTAGAACGTGCATATCAACCATAAAAATTATTATAACTATAATGTATTTATTTATTTGGCATATTTTTAAGTAAATTGTTTTAATCTCGGTGACAATATATTTTTGAAGTCTACATATGAACGTTTGTAAGAAAAAAAAGTTTTTTTTTTCTGTTGCTTATGCTCGTAAAGATATGTGTCTTATTGTTTTCGCTTTGAATGAATTAATTAGAGTCGAAAATAACCGAGCTGACTTGTCAAATATTTTGACTCGTAAACCATGTATTTTTATCAATAGATATTCAAATTCATTTTATCTCTATCATTATTCTACACTAAATTACTGATTAAAACACTTTTTCTCCGTAGAATTGGCTATATTACAACTTGAAAAAGGGCTGTAATTATTAAGCTTTCATATTCAGATTTCGACTTTGATTGGTTTTCATTTTTGTCTTGAGTTCTTCTTTTCCTCTATTGACTTGCATTATATCTGTTCTAGTACCTGGCTGTTTGCAAGACAATTGCTGTTGAATTTAGCAACACAGCTTGAGAATATTGGAGGGTGTCGGTGTGGGTATTGATGGAGAGTCTTATTTTTGTGTTCATTCACACTCACACCCCAATATAGCAATTTTTCTTTGATGCATGAAAGAATAAAGATCTTGTCAATTTAGCATCTATCTTCGCTGATATGTATACACCGTATCATATATTAGATTGCTGTAGATGCAAGGAAAATCTCTTGCAGAGTGGCTTGTAGGTTTTTCGCTATTACATTTCTTCACTATTCAGATTGTTTATTTATTCGAAAAAGAGACAAAATATCAATAATCAGTAGAAGCACTCTTTTATTGTACTTCGTAAATTGATAGCTAGAGGAACATGTAATACTGATGAAGCAATACTTCTGTGAAGATAGCTTTTCAGGCCATAATACTTGTATACGTGAGTTGCAAATATCACTAACGTGACAACTGTTTATGGCATGAATATGAGTTCAAACGGCAAATGTCAGTTGACGTTATTTCATCGTAAATATCGATTAAGTTTAAAAAATGAATTAATATTGTCAGAAAGCAAATTATTTGTACATGAAATATAATCGTTGACTATCGAATTAATGATAGAAAAATATTTTGTTGTTGCATCTGATAGTGAGTGACATCTATTTCGTATGTTTACTTCATGTAAAACTTCTTATCCTCTTCTTACCTTTGGTTGATTATCATTAACCTATCAAATCTAGATATGAAAAGAGACTTGACATGGCGTAAATAATTTTTCTTACTCATTTTCTTTACATTTCATATGAAATATTTTCCTTTCGATGTAAAAATGAAATTTTCTATCAATTGTCTAATTTTTTAGATATGTCTTCAAGTTCTTCGTCATCCGCAACGGCTAGTAATAACAATAAGACAATATTTAATGATACTGAAGTATATTTATTATTATTCTTGGTTTTTTATTTATGTTTTTGTTTATTTTTAAGATTGACGCTTTTCAAGGTCTTGATATTTCACGTTTATCAAACGAAGATATTATTGCACGATCACGTTTATTAGATAATGAAGTTAAAGTATATATATATTTACTTTAATTTTTATGTATTTTCAAAACAAAAAAAAATTTTATTTTTCAAGATTATGAAAAATGATATTGTTCGTATTTCACATGAAACTCAATCAATGCGTGATAGAATTAAAGATAATAAAGAAAAAATAAAAGTTAATAAAACTTTACCATATCTTGTCTCAAATGTTATTGAAGTAAGATTTTTATTTATAAATTATTTTATTATATAATATATTTAATTTAATTAGTTATTTGATCTCGATCCACAAGGTGAAGAAGATGAAGGTGCTAATATTGATCTTGATGCACAACGTAAAGGAAAATGTGCAGTTATAAAAACATCAACACGACAAGTAAATTGAAAGAGAAATTTCAAGTTTAAAAATCTTTTAGAAACACTATCAATTCTTTTTTGTTTTTATTGTTATAGACTTATTTTTTACCTGTTATTGGTCTTGTTGATCCCGATGAAATGAAACCAGCTGATTTAGTTGTAAGTTTTTTTTATTTATTAAATAAAATTTTCTATATTAATATTAAATAAATTAGGGTGTTAATAAAGATTCTTATTTGGTATTAGAAAAATTACCTGTTGAATATGATTCACGTGTAAAAGCAATGGAAGTTGATGAAAGACCAACAGAACAATATGGTGATATTGGTGGTTTAGATAAACAAATTCAAGAATTAATTGAAGCTGTTGTTTTACCTATGACACATAAAGATCGTTTTGAAGCACTTGGAATTCAACCACCAAAAGGTGTTCTTCTTTATGGTCCACCAGGTACTGGTAAAACATTATTAGCACGTGCTTGTGCTGCACAAACAAAATCAGCATTTTTAAAATTAGCTGGACCTCAACTTGTACAAATGTTTATTGGTAAAAAAAAATAAATTCATAGAAAACTTTTTATTTATTTGAAATATTAATATTTTTTTGTTATTATTTAGGTGATGGAGCAAAATTAGTACGTGATGCATTTGCATTAGCAAAAGAAAAAGCACCAGCTATTATATTTATTGATGAATTAGATGCTATTGGAACAAAACGTTTTGATAGTGAAAAAGCTGGAGATCGTGAAGTACAAAGAACAATGCTTGAACTTCTTAATCAATTAGATGGTTTTCAACCAAATCATGATATTAAGTAAATTATAACGATTGAAGAATTCTTAATTTATTAATGTTTATATATATATATATATAGAGTTATTGCAGCTACAAATCGTGTTGATATTCTTGATCCAGCTTTATTACGTTCTGGACGACTTGATCGTAAAATTGAATTTCCACATCCAAATGAAACAGTAAGATTATTAGAATTTTTGATTTTAAAATAAAAGTTTTCATCTTCGGAGAAGTTCGACTTTTAATAGAAAATGGATTTTAAAATATTATTAATCTTTCTATATAGTAGAAGGTGAAATAAAAATAAACAGACAATGTTGTTGAGAGTTGAATAAGGAATAGCTTGATAAGGGTGAAAGTACTTTCTACCTAATTATTAACTCTTCTCACTGTTAAAAATATATTGACAACTTTTCAGCACTTTATATAAACGTTTAATCTACATATTTTTTAAATAGACTGCAAAATTTTGTTTAAGAAAAGCAAAATACATTAGTTAGTTCGAAACTTTTAAGATATTACTCATAACATATGATATTTATTTTTAAAATAATTATAATTAAAAAAGAATTCTCGTCGGTTTTTTTTTAATCTCTTATGCGTAAAATATAAGTGCTAATGAAGAATATCATTTGGATATTTTTCCTCATCAGTAGTAGTAGTCCGATTATATTTGTCTTTGTATTCATTATTCTCTTGTTCGAAACAAGTAATGAAATCTTTTGATTTTTTTTTTCAAAAATATGTTAAGTAAGAAAATAAGAAGTCTTCACTAAAATTTTGCCATCGTACTGTCATTTAATGCTACATAAAAAAAAAACAATTTTTGTTATTTTCACAATGGATTTACTAATTATTTTCAGGCTCGTGCACGTATTATGCAAATTCATAGTCGTAAAATGAATACAAACAAGGATGTTAATTATGAAGAATTAGCTCGTTGTACAGATGATTTTAATGGTGCACAATGTAAAGCTGTTTGTATTGAAGCTGTATGTATTTATATTCATATAAATAAATATGATAATTAATTTAATAAAAAACAAAAATAATTTCTTATTTCTAAGGGTATGATTGCATTACGTCGTAATGCTGTTGAAGTTCAACATGAAGATTTTATGGATGCTATTCTTGAAGTACAAGCAAAAAAGAAAATGAATTTGAACTATTATGCTTGATATAATCAAATGTTTTTATTTATTTGTTTGTTTTCTCTTTCTATTGTTAATTCAATCATGCGTTTCCATTGTTCTCTCTTTCACCTCTTCTTTCTTTTTTTTAACGTAACACAAAAACAAAATAAATAAATATATATATCTATATGAAATTCCAGATTATCTATCAACGATGATTGTTTGACAGATTTTTCTTTTCATGACTATGTAATATGAGTTTTGTTTTGTTTTTCTTATTGATAAATCAGATCTTTAAAATTTTTATTGAATCAAAATTATTAACAAAAATTCTTTGTTAAGAATAAATTTTTCATTTCGTGAGTATACTATAAGATCCATTCGATATATTCGATGAATCAAAATATTCTAAGATAAATTAATAATAAATTAATTGATTTAATATATAAAAATAATATACCGTAATGTGAAATATTTCCAACACCAATACCAATCATGACGCCTATTGTTATAATAGCTAATGTACAGAAAAAGAAAATAGCAAATCGACGTGTTGCTGGATCTCTTGAAAAGAAAATAACAAAATTAATAAATTGATTGTATTTATAGAGGTTTTTTTGTTACCCTTGAATTGTAGGATATGTAGTAGGTAATGGTTTTGGTAATTCATTAGATTGCATTTTTATTATAGAATTTAAATGATGAGAGCAATGTTTTTTTTTTAGAATCGTTGCTTCCGTTTGTTATTTTGTTTTTTTTTTTCCTTTGCTCTTCTTTCAGTAGTCTTCGATAACTCAAGGAGAAATATAATTTTTTCTGCAATTTGTCACGCATCGTTAAGTGATTCATTACATTTTTTTTTCTTTCTAATTATAGGTCCTTCAATATTGATTATGGTTGATTCAAATTTTTGACTCATGTTAATTATCATAAAGACTTTTTTTTGTTTTTTGAGTAAATCAATTGGAATTATCGTATAAATAAATATCATTAATGTGTTTAATCACATACAGATATAAACAATATATAAATGTACTAGAAACTGTAACATTTATCCATAATATTCAAAACTTTATTGTTTTCTAAAATCATACAATCGTCAATGGACAAATTTAGCAAAGATTGAAACTATCATGAATAATTCTATATTGAAGTAATATCTTGCGTATAAAACTATTCATAATTTTTGTAGATACAAACTTAATTGATCAAATAATAATTGTATTCTTTGAGAAATACCGTGTTTCTCTGTCATTTCACCAATAAGAATTCGAATATACCCGATCAATTCAAATTTTAACATCAATATGCTCCTCAATTCGAGATTAAATATTTCAACCGAGAAAAAACAATCGTATCTTTCTATATTTAAATAATGATAGTATTTTAATTCTTGCTGACGATTTCATTTTTATTGTACTATTAACTTGATTTACATAGTAAAGTTCTATTTTCCGGAGCGTTAAAATTATTATTAAAGTGAGACATAAGAATAACTTATGCTGTTCATCTATTGTTCTCTATGATTTCATAATTCTATGATGGCTAAGAAAAAAATCAAGGATACAAGTGTAAAAATTTTTTTCTTCTTATAATACAAACAAAAAATTCAGTTGTTTTACTGTTCTTCTTTTTTTTTTTTTTACTTCAATGAAAAGTTACTTTATTGTATTAATGAAACATGATGTATATGAACTTGGAAGGCTTCGATTAATATATGAGAGCAAAAAATAAATAAATCGAAATATAATCTTTAGAAGACATCTTTTCGCTCGTAGATTTAATGACTTTTTGTCTAATACAAAAAAAAAAAAGTTTTGAATGAATAAAACTATCGTATATTAATACACGGAAAAGTATGAAAAATCTATTATTTCTTCTCTTTGTCTACCTCTTTTTTACCTTATATTCTTCTATTGTATTACAAAAAGAAAATAATAATAATAATAATTGAAAAAAATAGATCGTTGAATTAAAAAAAAAAAAAAACTAGTAAGTCAACTATTGACACTTCGATCGTCGACAATTATTAAACGATTCTATTTCATATTTAACACATATATTATTATAATATTTTAACTTAATCATCTATGAATAGTAGTTTATTAAATTAATAAAACAAAAAGAAAATGCATGTTACACGTATTGTTCCAATTGAAAATCATAATGGTCAATTTAGTAATATGCGAATGCATTTACAGCCTACGGTAAGTATTCAATCCAATCAACTAGATATATATATATATCTTAAGCATAAAAAAAATTAAATTTACTTTTGATTTTTCTTGATCTGGAATATATTCGAACAAATCCGAGTTCCTTTAATCTCCTGAGATAATTATTTCAAATTTTTTTTCTTTTCATAATCCAAGCGTTGAAAAACTTATGAGTCCAACAGGATTTTTGTTATACTGATTGAAATTTACTTGCTATGAAAGCTTAGGGGAGGGGAGCGATTTCCTTAAAATAACGAGTAGAGAAAATTTTAAAAAAAAAATCCTTATATTTTATTTTATTTCAAACTTGTTTCAATGACAAAATATATAACTGTAAAAATTCATTGAAGAGTGAAGTCTAATAAATATATATTTGATGAGAATTCTTTCAAGATTTTTTTTTTTTTTTGTTCTTTTAGCAACATCTTTAACAATTAAATGATTGTTATTTGAAATTTTTTATTATTCAATTGATCATTAGTCTAACAAAATATTTATATTTATTCTAGCCACCAATTCCCATTACTTATGCTACAGCAGCAATACCAGCATTTGCTCCATTCGGTACTGAATATACACCTGAACAAAGAGTAAAAATTATTGGTAGTCGATGTATTTTAATACCTCAATCAATTACGTCTATACCTAAATTAGCTGAAAAAACGTAGGTTGCAAAAAAAAGAAAAGAATTATTTCTTTTTTTTTCTTACGCATTTACACAATAACGATTTCACTTCCTCATTCAAACTACATAAACATAACGGGCAGTTTTATAAAAAAGAAAAATTGATTTTTACGCTTTTTAATAGCAAAAAAAAAAGAAGACTGAGTACTATTACGACCGCAAGAAGTGGTCAAATAAAGCACGTACACATACTCTCTTCGTTTTTTTTTCTTTTGTTTCGATACAAACACAAGCAGCAACCAGCGAAAAAAAAAAAGTTACCCAAGCAACTAAAATTACTCTTTTTTTTTATCAACGACAGAATGACAAAGTAGTAGCAACAACAAACATATACATAAAAGAGCAAAGAGAAGAAAGTGTTACTTTGTGTGTTTATTGACAACTTCATTAAATGCGTCGTTTTTCTTTTGATTCATGAAATATTAAGTTCGTTTCTTTTAAAAATAAAAAATGGCGTTTACACGATATTATCCTATGTCAAGTCATATTTAGTATAATAATATTTAAAAGATTTTTAATTAATTAATAAACAAAATTCTTTTGTTTTGTTTTATTGTAGTGATCCAGCAGTAGCTCCAACAAAACCTATTCAACATGTTACTGCAGTTGATAATTCTAAAATGCAACATCAAAATACAGCAAGATTTGATACAACTTATCGTACGGAATTTACTAATCGAAATCGAAATTATGTATCTCATCAGGTATGTATATTACTATATCGAAAAAACAAAAAAAAAAGAAACAATCTATCATATCTTTAAAAACTATAACAATGAATTTTTTCTATAATCATTGTTGAAATATATCTTTTTTCATTACAAGAAAAAGGATTTCAATAGTTGTATTGAATTTTATTTATTTATCACTTTTGTGTAGGACGTTTTGTTTTTTAATTTTCACGCAAAATATGTTAACAATCAAATTTAAGAATCATTTTTCTTTTGACTAAGTTTAGTTTTGAATAGTATTTTTAGAGATCTTAAAATTTGTATTACTCATTTTGTTGTTACTTTATTTTTTCGTGTTGTTTCAAATATAGAAAATGAAACTTTCTTTCTATAAAATATATTTTCATTCGTTTCAATTGTTAATAGTCAAACAATAAACATTTTAAACATATTATCAAAATTAAATCTACGTCGTTTAATATTTTATGAAAGAAACAATTAAATAGAATTTAAAGCATTGCACATTTTGAGTTGTGAGTTATTGTAAAAAAGAAAAAAAAGAAATTTTAAATTTGTACTTGATGACAAACATCCTTTTTTTTTAAGTTTTCTTCCTTTTGCATATATATAAAATTGCATCAATTTCGATAAGCTATTGCCTATGTAAATGTATGCAAATTAAAAAGAAAAAAAAAAGAATTTTTTTTTTTATTTCAATTTCTTAAAATAAATAAAAAGAAAATGTTGAAGTTTAAAATTATACTAATGGAAAAATGGAATTGACTTGAATAGTATTTTAAAGATTGAAATTCTATTTTACTCTTTTTTCATACATTATTATAATCATATGAAAACAAATAAATAATCTTTCTATTTTAAGATATATATGTAATAATTTTTATTTTTGTCTAATTATATACAAAATATAATAATCTTAATTTTTTATCAGGATCAATATACAAAAGCAACTCGACAATTTAAAAATGCTCTCAATCAATATCCTGTATTACCACCAATATCTGCAAATAATAATCGACCTGAAACATCAGATCGTAAGAGTGTCACTGATGGTCAACAACAAATACAACAACCATTTAATGATCAAGTCGTACCTAGTAATGAAACAATGCCATCATTAAATTTTAATAATGAAAGAGAATATTATGATAATCAATATCAACAACAACAACAACAACAACAACAACCATTGATGAATAATGAAGATACATATTTACCTGATGAACCAGTTCTATTAACTAATTATGAAGAAGATCGTTTAGCTGAACAAATTCGTACTCAATTAGGAGGTCCTGTTGCAGTTGATCGATTAAAATTATTATATCAACAATTAGCTGCTTATGATCCAAATCTAACAGGTTATGTACATTATTCAAATATTCAATCGTTGACTTATCAACTTGGAGTAAAAATTTTTAATAATTTTTTTTTTATTTAATAGAAAATTTTCTTTTTTTTGGTTAGCTTCATATGGCTGATGATACACTTCGTTTTGCTATGTGTAAATTTGTATCATCAGATCGTCAACATGGTTTTGTTAATTATGAAGATCTTATTCGATATTTTGGAAAATGTTTAGCATCAGTTTCTCCTAATCAATACGAGTAAGTTATATTTCATTATCATATGAAGTAAAAATAATAAGAATTATCAATATCTACATTCCTATATCTCTTGATAGCAAAAAAAGCAATAAAATTTTCCTATAATCTAAACATATTCACACACACACACATGATCTTATTCCCGTCTTCTCAGTTATAACTTTACAGGAGTCGCCAGTACCAGTTTGGCAAATACTGGTTACTACACACTATCTATCATCGTATAGATAAAAGGTAGGTATAGAAAAATAAATTACTATCGATTCGCTCCTTCTAAATTTTTCTTGCTCATAAATGATTACTTGTAAGTTAGTTGTACTTGATAGAACGATACATATTACAAAAAAATTTTAATCAATAATTTTCTATACAGTAATCAACAACAACAACAGGAACGAAATAGTCCACAAAAAACAATACGACCTAATATTAATCAATTTTCAAATGATAATGAACAATTTGATCCTGATGAACGACAAATACGAGTTTTATTAAAACAAAATTTAAAACATTTTGATCTTAGTGGTACAATTGATTTTGATAAATTAACACATGAATTAAATAATGTTGATAGAAATCAAAGTGGAGTTTTAAATCGACAACAAATTGAAGAAGTTGTATATAAAGTTCGTATACCATTACAACGTTCATTAATTTATCAAATATTAGAAAAACATTGTCGAGTATCACCAAGATTATATGAGTAAATATATAATTAATAAAAAAAAAACAACAACAATAGAATTTCTTTTATTTTAGTTGGAGAATGTTTGTTCAATATTTACAAGAACAAATATTTGATATAAAACAAATTCAAGATCGTTCAAGTCCAGTTTATACACAAGTATAAAACTTAAATTTTTTTGTTTTTTGTACTAAGATTTTTATTATTTTTGTTGAATATTTTATCTTTAGTATGTTCCCAGTCGTAATCAATGGCTTGATAATCTTCAAAAAGAATTTCATGAAAAAGATCGTTTACGTATTATTGATCGATTCATTTCTAATAATGAAGGAGTGCGATTGGTAAATAATAAAAATTCCAAAAACAAATTCATTTCACATTATTTTTTTTTTAGGAAAGTACACATCCAACAGCTTGGTTTACACGATTTTTACGTTTGGCTAATGCTATGTATACTCATCGTCGTAATTCGAATGTATCACGTATGTATTTGATATTATGAATTATTTTGATTTACTTTTGTTTTTTTCAGAAGAATTTGTATTACCTCGAGAAGAAGCTCGTCGACTTTTTCGTGCTTATAATCATATATGGGATTTGAAAATTGATGAATATACAATACAAAAAGTTTTTGAAGGATGTTCTCGAAATGGACATGTTGTTATTGATGAAGCACTTAAACAACTTGCTAAATAAACAGATTTTTCTTTTTTTCTTTTTTTAAATATTCACAATGTCTTGTTTTACCTTTCAAGATTTTTCTTTAAATAAATATTCAATGTTTTTAATAAAAGAATGATTCTTAATTGATCGATTAGTTTATATTAAAAGATAATGACGTTATTTTGTATCAGTGTTTTATCCAGGATTTTTTCTCCGGAGGGGCGATTTGAATTTCCGAGGGATCAATCCATGTATTCGTAGCACGATTATCACAAGTCTCGGGAGGGTGAACTCGATTTTCTGGGAAGGGCGCCGCCCCTCCCCCTCCCCGGGCACCCCTCTGCATAAAACACTATTTTGTATTTATTTGAATATGTACAAAGTGTCTTGCAAGAATATATTAAACTGAAAAAATGTCAATCGAATCATATTTTGTAAAAATATGATTTCAATTTATTTTTCTCATTCAATATTCATGAATATAAATTTTAAGATGTATGTTTAGGAATATTATTCCGACTGTTGAAAATATTAGTGTATTGAATATCACCGGTGTTTTTTTTCTGCTAGCAAACGATCACTGTTCTTCTTTATATCATTTGCGATGATTTTCTAAGATTCCAAGTGACTTATAGATTTATTTATTTATTAAATATAAACGTAATAGAAATGTCGAATGTAGCAAAAGTTTTGCATGTTTTATTCATCCTATTTAGAAACATGATAAAATATGATTGTTTTTTTTAAAGATGCATCATCGAATGTCGTACGCAGATCAAAGTAAAACCAAATCCTTATAGCAAATTGCAAAATTTTAATAGGCTACTAAAATCAAACATATGTTGCATCTGATTATTTCTCCCAAGAAAAAAATCGAAAAAGTCGATTTTACACTTGACCATTTAGATCATTCTATTCACCAGAAATATGCATTTCTACATTTTGATAATTCACACGTTTTCGAATATATTTCCAATGATTTGGTTTATCGAATAATGATTTACAATTTATTAAGATCAATATTGTCTGATGATTCTTTCACATTCATACTCTTATCTTTGAATAATAGTCTTTTCACTAGTCACTGCTATGTTAACAACTCTTCTAGCTACTATGAATAATAATAGAAAATCATGATCAATTGCACTAGGTTAAAATCACTTAGATTCAACATGCCATGCTCTTATTCATGAGTTGATCTGATTGTAAATTTATATGCGTCGATTTCTTATTGCGAGATATCGATTGAATTTTATTTCTTTTTTTTTTAGTGAAATACTCTTCATTATTTCTTTATATTTAATTAAGTCTATTGAAAAAAAAAAGAAATTGATTCATTGCATCAAATTATAATCAAAAATTAGTTTCGAATATTTATTCCATGGAAATTGTGACAAGTGTTTGAAGGAGAGAGAGAAAGAGTAAATGAAGAGAAGCGTCTAATGCTGACACATTGTATCGATTATTATTTATACAACAAGGTCATCAACTCTGTATCTTTGTCTGTAAGTGTCAATATACATTTTATTTCAAGGTATATCTAAATATACAATCCACATAGACTTCTGTAGTTCATCAATAATAAATTTACGAACATTATAAAAAAAAACGATGAAATAATTATTTTAATAGATTTAAATTGATTAAATATGTTAGATTGAATTTACTTTTCAAGACATAAATCATTGATATTGAAGATATTCTAATGAATTACTATACGTGATAATCTATGTGCAAAATCAATACAAATGATTTAAATTTGATAATGACAAAGATAGTCCTTTATCAAAAAAAAAAATTTCTCATAAGACGAAGTGTGAAAAATAGAGCCTTTTGAGACTTTCTTATTGATGTCCTGATGTATAAGATTGAGAACGATACTTCATCATTATTATTATTATTACATATGTTGAAGTGTTTACTTCTTTATTCTATAATCCAACATTATCTCTTGAATTGTTCACTTATCAAATAATTATCATATATATACCTCCTACCTTTCATTTCAATGAAAGCATTATTATATCTTTTTTTGTTTGATCCATTGAATAATGTATAAACATAATATTACGTATCTTCATTAAACATCTCGTTTTTTTTTAAAAGATAAGAAACGATCAAATAAGAATATATTGTAACAATAGTTTTTCTTTTCTTTTTATTCAAACATACGAAATAATAAATAGACTGTTTTATGTATGCATTATTTATTTCCTCATTATGTAAATCTTGAAGTCCTTTAATATATACATTGTATCTAGCTTATATAATACTTTCGTTTGTGTTTTTATATTCGTATAAATATTGAGTAATTGTTATTCAAACCATCAAAAACAATCATGTGTAACGATTATTAAAACAGATGTGATATGGCCTTCTCTAAGTAATTCATATTTAATTTAGCGTCTTTTTTTTGTTATTGTCATAACAACACAGACATTGTATGAGGGTCAACTAAAAATAATTAATGTATTGATGTTTATTTCTTTTTTATATCGATACAATATTAAGTTATGTACCTTATATATTAATAGAATGAGAAAACCTATTAAAATAAAATGTTATCAGTTAGTACCAACAATGAACAATTCTATTCGAATATGCATAAAGTTCATTTGATAAGTGTAAAAAGATATGTATAAGTATTAAAATTAACTATTAGCTTTCAATGTCGAACAGTATTATGAAATAATGCGTACGAAAAAAAAAGAATCATATTCCGTCGCACTCGAGTGCCAACATACGTACCAATTGTAGAGTCTTTCTTTTTTTCTCTCCTCTTCTCTTATATTCTCTTATCTATAAGATCTGATCTTTCAGGAAGGTCACTACCATAATAAAAAGTAGAGAAAGTGAAGAAGAAAAAAAAAAGACAATGTTATATATTAACTTCAGGTTGTCCAACAATATTTTTCGTTCGTTTTTTTTTTCTTCTTCTTGTATTGTACCTTGACAAAAACCTTGTGTCTATTTTTTTTTTGTTAGAAAGATATTTGTGATATATATATTACCTTGTCTTTGTGCATCAGTTTTCATAGTAAAATATATCAAAAAAGAAAAAAAAAAAAACATTGAACACTGTTATATAAAATACAATAAAACTAATTAAAAGTGAGAATTATAAACATAAACATGTAGATTTCATTGAAATCGTAGACATACATAGTCTTTTAAAGCAATATATTCATTAGAATAAATGATCGATATTGACAAATTGTCATCTCAAGAACAGTACTGACTTGAATAATTATCGTAAGGAAAGTATATTACGCTCTTCTATGTATTGATTGATGTAGGATAGGAAAAAAAAATAGAAACTATTTCTAGACACTCATTAATCATTTAGTTCTTCTATTCTATAACAATAAAAATCATATCATTACACTTTTTGTTTTAGATAGAAAAATGTTTAATTGAATAAATAGATACAATATGGATTATTTCGATAATAACGAATCATCATCTGTTAGTTATCTTAATTCAATTCAAGGAATTCAATTTGATGGACATTCATATGCACTTTATGGTATTAGAAAATAAAAGTTTATTTCAATTTTTTCTTTACTTACTGTATATTGTTTTCTCTTTTTTTTTTTTATAGATCCTAATTTTAAAATAAATGATTCATTTACAATAAATTTTCAAATAAAAACATTTGCTAATAATGGTCTTATTTTATGGATTGAAGATCCTTTACCAGAATCAAGTTTTACAATTGAAATACAAAATCGACAGGTTTTATTTTTTTGTTATGTTGAATATTTATATTTTCATTTTATTATAAATAGCTTATAGCTCGAGCTGTTGTCAATGGTCAACCATATAGTGTTCGTACAGATTTTACAAAAAATCGTTTATGTGATGGTGTATGGCATTGTATTCAAATACGTCTTGAAGGTAGTTTACTTTCAATGAAAGTTGATAAACGACATTATTCAAAAAGTGAATTACGTGTTCATACAATTGATCTACGTGGTCCATTATTTATTGGTGGTTATTCCGAAAAATATTCACCAACATATTTATCAGTTCGTACAAATTATTTTTTAAATGGAAATATACGAAATTTAAAAATAAATGAAAAACAAATTGATTGGCTTGCACCACGTTCTACAACTGTTAAACGTGAATTTTATAATTTAAGTACAAAAATAATGCCATCAAAAAATAATCGATCATTTTCAAATTCACCAACATTAAATAAACGTACATTGTAAACAATATTATTTTATTTATAATTAAGAAATATATTTATGAGAACTAAAAAAGAAATTTTTTTCTTTTTTTTTTTTTTTGTCGAAATTCATTTCATATAAAACGAAAAATCATTTTTTGTTTTCTTCTTTTTTTTGTAAGAATAAATAAATAGTAGATAGGGCTTTTTTGTTTTTGCAACTATTGATACTTCTCAGATAAAATGATATAAATTGCTTAATGAATAAAATGGCGCCCGATAGAATTATTTGATGCAATGACAAATTTAATTGAACAAAAAAATCTATATAATTCACCATGTGATGAAATATCAAAAATAAAAAAAAATCGAGGACTTGGACCTGAATTTATTTATCCATTTATTGTACTTTTTTTTGCTACTATACTTCGAAAATTACTTAGGTATTATGTTTTAATTAATTTAAATTCTATTCTTTGTTTTGTTCTAAAGACATTATCATATTTCATTACCATATACAGTTATATTAATGCTTGTTGGTGCTGTACTTGGTGGTTTTTATCAATATGAACTTATTAAAAGATTTACATTTATTGCTGATTTAACACCTGTTCAAATTCTTTCAATATTTTTACCTATATTAATATTTGAAAGTGCATTTTCATGTGATCCACATATTTTTATTAAATGTCTTGGACAAATTCTTACATTAGCTATATTAGGTAGATATTATTTTAATAGTAGAATAAACAAGAAGGGTTCTTTTTTCATAGATACTAATCTAAATTAAATTGAACTGATTAAGTTTTGTGTTTAGGAAAAATTTCTTCTAATTTGAATATTTTCATATTATTTCTATTGACAAATTGTAGAGTCAAAACGTAAAATATTCGATGTTTTAACTAAATACTAAAGAAATTTTTATAGATAATGTAATTGATATTTTCCTTTGAAGAGGTATTCCTTGCTCTTTTTTCGGCTATTTCTAGTTATCGAAGAAGATGCAACCGATTCGCCTGATATTTTTACCGCGGATACTTGAAAGTATTCTTCTAAGATGAAATTACTCGTTTTCACTTTTGATCGTTCTATTTAGATTTTAAGAATGTTGAACACTGATGCTCTGTTTTTTTCGGAAAAAAAATAAGAAAGTGAGATTTTTAAAAATGCTTAAAATAATCTCTGATATCTATTGAGAAAGAATTTCAATCCCAGTGAATACAATTAGAGATGGAGTACCATCATTTGATTCTTTGTAGTTCTGTGAAAATACCAAAATCTTTCAGAAGAAATCGTGAACACATTGTTTGAAATTTTTTTCGTGTCTCTTTATTTTAGATGTTCTATCTATAATAAAAATTTCAAGTAGTAAGTTGTATTCTCTTCAAGAACTCACAAGAGTTGAAATTCCCGTACGTAGCCAAGTTAACAAGTGCAGCGTGTCCTAAAAGTATGTTGAAGTACATAGTTTTAAGAATGGTTAAATTTTAGTCATTTATCATTGTGAATCTTAAAATGTAACTCGAATTAGGCAAGTATATGCATGACGTAGACTCTACTAGAGATACTTTTCCACTCTTTTGTGAAATCAGATCAGTAGCAAATCAATAAAGTTCAGAATGTTAGACATCATCAAATATTTGTTTTGTTACAAATGTATGTCTTATTTTATGAACAATAATACACTTAATACTGATTGAATATTTTCCGATTATGACAAAGATTTACAAGGTCAATAGGAAGATATGTCCAAAAATATGAAGTTACATATTACAGATAATAATAATCAAATTGTTTTTCACGGTGGACTTATATCCTATATCACAGTTCAAATTTAATATAAGATTTTTACATAAAACTTATTAATATTGACAATTGCTAGATATAATCACAAGGGAACATTTCCAAGTAGTTCGCTCTCATATATAGAGAATCACTATAGTAATATAGCTTCTAGTGAATTCCTGCTCATAGTTACGTTTGGTCTTACGAGAGAA